CAACCTGGACATGAGCATCTAGTTTGTAGATTAAAGAAATCGTTGTATGGGTTGAAACAGTCTCCAAGATAATGGTACAAGAAATTCGACTCCAACATGATTCAAATTGCTACAAGCGATGTGAGTATGATTATTGTGTTTATTTTAAGAGCCTTGATGATGCTTCTTTTATTTTCTATAACTGTATGTTGATGACATACTGATTGTTGCAAATAATATGTATGATGTCCTTAGTTTGAAAGTTTTGTTCTACCAGGAATTTGATATAAAAGACTTAGGTGCTACAAATAAAATTCTTGGAATGGAGATTCGCTGAGATAGAGACTCAGATGACTGTGCTTATCTCAACAAGGCTATGTTGAGAAAGTGCTAGACAAGTTTGAGATGAGCAAATCAAAGTCTGTGATCACTCCATTGACAAATCATTTTAAGCTTTTTTCATAACAGTGTCCTAAGTCAGATAGGAAAATCGTAGACATGAAAAAGGTTTCATATGCCATTGCAGTTCGCTGTTTGATATATGTAATGGTATGTACTCACTCTGGTTTAGCTCATGTTGTTAATCAAGTTTGTAAATACATGTGTAAACCTGGTAGGCGACATTCAAAAGCAGTCAAGTGGATTTTCAGGTATCTGATTGTAGGACATGAAATTATTTTTTACAGTGAACAGAATGATCCTTCACTTGTAGGGTACGTGAATTCAGATTATGCATGTGATTTGGATTATAGAAGATTTACCACTGGTATATTTTTACTCTTGGTGGAAGGCCTATATGCTAGAAATCAACAGTTCAGGCATTATCTACAACTTAAGCTGAGTACATGGCAGAAACAAAAGTTTCTATAAAAACCTTATGGCTTACTGGGCTTGTAAAAGAGTTGGGTGTTGAGCAAGGTGGAGTTCAATTGCATTGTGATGGTATAAGTGTCATTTATCTGGCTAAGAACCAGGTGTACTAAGCTAGAACTAAGCACATTGATGCAAGGTATTACAAGATTAGAGAATTGACTGCTTCTGGTGAGATACTGTTGCAGAAAGTTCATACTAATGATAATGCAGCTGATATTTTGACCGAACCAGTTATCATTAATAAGTTCTTACATTGCTTGAACTTTTGAATATTTACAGTTGTTAGACAATCATGGTAGCTCAACCCACTTTAGTGTGTGAGAAACTCAATGGTATCTTTCTTTTAAGGAGTTTGATATTTGTCGAGGTGGAGATTTGTTAAGTATGACTCATATATCAAATGAGGGACAAATGCTGGAGCACAAGGTGGAGATTTGTTAAGTATGGCTCATATATCAAATGAGGGACAAATGCTGGAGCAGAGCTCGCGAGAGTAGCCGAACTAAAGCATCTTTCTAACTGGGGGAGTTTTGTTAAGTTGGTTGGGGTGTGGGGGCAACGGTCTCGCTGTCCATACAAGGTAATTTTGTAATTACATATTGTAAACTAGAGTATAGAAGTTATCACTAGTCAGGAGAATAAGAAAAGGATGAGTACAATGGTTGAGAAGATAAAGCCTTTGCACAAAAATCATACATGAGAGCTAATTCAACTTTCTGAAGGAAAGAAGACTATTGAGTACAAGTGGGTGAACAAAAGAAAACTAGTAGTATCAGAAAAAAATAGGAAAAGTTCAATGTTAGGTTGATAGCAAATGGATTTTCACATTAGAAGGGGATAAACTATGATGAAATCTTTTCTTTTGTGATTAGGCATGCTTCAATCAGGACAGTGCTTGCATTAATAGTTATTCAGGATTTGCATCTAGAGCAGATAGATATTAAAACTGCATTCTTGCATAGTGATCTGGAGGAGCATATTTACATGGAGCGGCTAGAAGGGTTCACTCAACCTGGACATGAGCATCTAGTTTGTAGATTAAAGAAATCGTTGTATGGGTTGAAACAGTCTCCAAGATAATGGTACAAGAAATTCGACTCCAACATGATTCAAATTGCTACAAGCGATGTGAGTATGATTATTGTGTTTATTTTAAGAGCCTTGATGATGCTTCTTTTATTTTCTATAACTGTATGTTGATGACATACTGATTGTTGCAAATAATATGTATGATGTCCTTAGTTTGAAAGTTTTGTTCTACCAGGAATTTGATATAAAAGACTTAGGTGCTACAAATAAAATTCTTGGAATGGAGATTCGCTGAGATAGAGACTCAGATGACTGTGCTTATCTCAACAAGGCTATGTTGAGAAAGTGCTAGACAAGTTTGAGATGAGCAAATCAAAGTCTGTGATCACTCCATTGACAAATCATTTTAAGCTTTTTTCATAACAGTGTCCTAAGTCAGATAGGAAAATCGTAGACATGAAAAAGGTTTCATATGCCATTGCAGTTCCCTGTTTGATATATGTAATGGTATGTACTCACTCTGGTTTAGCTCATGTTGTTAATCAAGTTTGTAAATACATGTGTAAACCTGGTAGGCGACATTCAAAAGCAGTCAAGTGGATTTTCAGGTATCTGATTGTAGGACATGAAATTATTTTTTACAGTGAACAGAATGATCCTTCACTTGTAGGGTACGTGAATTCAAGTTATGCATGTGATTTGGATTATAGAAGATTTACCACTGGTATATTTTTACTCTTGGTGGAAGGCCTATATGCTAGAAATCAACAGTTCAGGCATTATCTACAACTTAAGCTGAGTACATGGCAGAAACAAAAGTTTCTATAAAAACCTTATGGCTTACTGGGCTTGTAAAAGAGTTGGGTGTTGAGCAAGGTGGAGTTCAATTGCATTGTGATGGTATAAGTGTCATTTATCTGGCTAAGAACCAGGTGTACTAAGCTAGAACTAAGCACATTGATGCAAGGTATTACAAGATTAGAGAATTGACTGCTTCTGGTGAGATACTGTTGCAGAAAGTTCATACTAATGATAATGCAGCTGATATTTTGACCGAACCAGTTATCATTAATAAGTTCTTACATTGCTTGAACTTTTCAATATTTACAGTTGCTAGACAATCATGGTAGCCCAACCCACTTTAGTGTGTGAGAAACTCAATGGTATCTTTCTTTTAAGGAGTTTGATATTTGTCGAGGTGGAGATTTGTTAAGTATGACTCATATATCAAATGAGGGACAAATGCTGGAGCAGAGCTCGCGAGAGTAGCCGAACTAAAGCATCTTTCTAACTGGGGGAGTTTTGTTAAGTTGGTTGGGGTGTGGGGGCAACGGTCTCGCTGTCCATACAAGGTAATTTTGTAATTACATATTGTAAACTAGAGTATTATATATATATATATATATATATTGTATTTGTAATCCTAAGGGGATGTACGTTTTTCAAGAAATCAACAGAAGCCGCCGCTCATTTCTCCCGCAGACTTAGGCATATTACCGAACTTTGTTAAATCCTTGTGTTCGTTCTTGATTGCTCTGTTGGTTCTTGCATTTCTTTGCCCTAATTTCTCAACATAAGTATATATGTGCACAGATGCTTTGACATTTATGTGCACTGGTGCACAATTGTCACCAAACAAAGTTCAAGTTTGTAAATTATTTGTCTTCAGGTTTTGGGGAATGATGAGTTTGTTAAATTAACTAAAATTCAGAAGAGAAATGAAGGAACTCCCCCCAAATTACTTGAAATTCAGAAGGTTGCAATATCTACCTAGTATTCAATAAGGAGAAAATTGTTCTCCAAGAGGCTAAAATAGTTGAGAATCTAGAAGAATAAAGTCATAACCCACATTCCCTTAGAAGAACCCGATCATCAGAGTGATGTTCTTCGGTTGTTTGGACTCCCAATTGATTTAAAAGTCGTATTTGTGAATAGTAGCAACGTCAAGGAGAACAATTTTCCCTATGATCGAGGAGGTGATACATATATTAAACAATGTCAAGTGAAATAAAATATGCAGTACAGTACTTTTTCAGTCTAGAAGATATTATTTGTTTGGTTTAGTTTCATAATTGTAGGATATGTTTGATGTTCAGTGGAATACATTGCAAATGATATGCTGATTCAAAGCAGCCTCCTCAATTGACTGAAAAAAGATTCCTTGCGGACGTCGATGTGGCCGCCGGTGGTTGGCCGTCTGGACATTGGATGTCCAGACGGAATATTTTCTCTAATTGAATCCTCTCGAATATGTAAAATTCATGGAAACAATATATCTACTCTCACTCAGGTATGCATTCATTGGGTGCAGATCATTTAACTTGCCAATATAGTCACAATTTATTTTCTTATCATGTAATAATTATGCTTCGATGATAGATCATTTACATAAATTTGCAGATTTTTACAGTTCTGATTTGAGTTTAATTTCATATTTTTCTTCTGCTTTAAAATTATTTGAAGGAATTATTTGACTTTCTAGAAACCATCGAAGAGGTCATATATTTAAGTTGTAAATTTTTGTCTTTTATTTATATCCAGTAAATTATCAAAGAGCACACATCAAATGAAAATCTTATATGGCAATGTGAAATGTGGATGGTCAAAAAATAAAATTAATTTATGCTTTGTTTCACATGCTCGTGTAATAATCAAGACACATAATTAGCGCCTTAATTTTATATTTTTATGACTACAAATATGTCATGAGCAGATATTTTGTCATACGATTCGTTTTTGGACAAACATTCATGTATTCCTTTTTATGAAATGCGTAGGCCCCCCCTGCTCTGTCGGTGCAACCAAGTAGGTGCAGGCCTTGTTTGCTGGCGTCGCTTGATCAAGAGTTGATGCCAGCATTGACGAAGGTGGACGGGTCGTAATTCGTGAATGGCGTGAAAGCAGTAGGGTCTGCTAACCAGGATTTATCATTTATCAATTTTTTTAAATAAAATTAATATTAGAATTGTTGGTGATATTTAAAATTATTAGGGATATTGTACTCTTTACGATTAAGAAGCTAAAAAAATAAAAAAGTTCAATTCAAATATTTGATTTCTAAAGTTGTTTTTAAAGGAACCTCTGAAAACTTCAACAGGAATCAAATTTTAAAATGCTGGTCCGTCGACCGCGAAGTCATTTTCTTAATCTCGATCAAAACACTAAATGCATTTCATTAACACCGTCAATCCTGAAGAATCCCAGAATTGCAGGAAGAACAGCGTGCTCAAAAAGACAGTAATAATGCCAAGGAAACCAAATGTCAGATTACTTTACCCGCCGACCTCAAGTCCTCAGCAAACCCTATCGTCGTAATCAACGGCAAGGATCCGTAGAAGATCATTGAATCCAACACCGGTGGATTCTTCGCATCCCCCTGAACGGATCATCTCTCGCACGTCCTCATCATCGGCGGGCATCCCAACCCACGCCAAATACGCTTTTAGGTCTTCGAACCCCACCCTTCCGTCTCCATCGCGATCCATCAATCGGAAGGCCTCCTCCATGATCCCCCCGCCGGCTACGGGGAGAACGCGCTCAAATTCCTCGAACTCGACAAATCCGTTGCGATCCGCGTCGGCGACGGAGATCATGGCGGCAATGTCATCATCGGAGGCGGCAGGGCGGCGGTAAAGCGAGTGAAGAAGGCGTGGAGATCGCCGTGGCTGATTCGGCCGTCCCGATCGGCATCCAGGACGTCGAAGGCCGGCCAGATTGTCGTCGATTTAGCGGCGGAGTTGCGGGGAAGATGACGGTCGGAGGGGCACATTTTGGTGATTATAGTTTCCTGTGATGGGGAGGAGGGAAGGGAATGAAAAGGAGTGGAGAGAAAACTCCTGGAATTTATGGAGAAAACTCCTGGAGTTTATGGGAAAAGCTTAGGCCTAGAATGTTCTTTCCGAATAGAACTGGTTGAACCTATTGTATTTAAAATAAATTAAATTCTTAATGAGAAATATTCTGATATAATTTATTAAATTAATCTTTTTTAATTTGGATTTTTACAGACGTAGGACCTTAAAAAATCATATTTATGTTTCCTCACACATAAATATTTTTATGTACATATAAAGCACATTTTGTTCTCACTTCGCTCCTATCATAATCACCCGCAATAGCGCATTAGCTTATTTATCCATGTGCACTCCACTTCCACTACTTCAAAAGCATCTGCAGCATTAGTAAAGCAAATGACACGTGTTTCGACTAAGGGTCTGTTCGGAATAGTTTGTGCTTATCCAGATAAACAGCTTATCTTGAAACGTGGCCCACGGGGTTCGACCCGCGGTCAACATTTAGTGTTAAAAACCAATCGCGTTTTCGGATAAGCTGCCAAAACTTGTTTTTCAAATGGTGATGCAGCATTTTGAAAATGTTGCCCGCACTTATAAACTGCTCCAAACGGGCCCTAAAAGACCCAAGTCTTGGTAAGGGAGAAGGAGGACGTAGCCGGGGAGCCCAATCGATTTCTACTCCAAATGGGGGTTAATTTGAAGGAAAATGAGAGTATTAGATGTCATTTTTCGGCGCGACTCTGGCAGGGAGATGGAAGGGTCAACAGAAGGAAATTTTGGGAGTGAATTTTGTAATAATTTTGGGATGTCAGACGTGTAAATAACAATTTTTAACATGCTATGCATGCAAAAACCCCTTAATTTTAACATTCAACTTATATAAATTTTTTTTATTTAATTGTACATTAAATTATAAAATTTTATTTAATAAAGTATAAGAAAATTTTGATACATATCATAAAATTCTTATGAATTCACATATCTAACACCTTTTTTTTAAAATTTATTTGAGCGAAATTAATTGCAAATCATTCATATTCAAGAACTCTTGGGTTAAGGACAAAACTTTCAAGAACAATTTTGATATTTAAATTAATAATATTTTTATGTCATAAATTTATTCACTAATCGATGTACTGTGTTTTGAAAATGTTAATGATATTTTTTTAACGTGATATTAAATACTAGAGTGAATTGTTTATAAATATGAAAATATGGCTATTAGAAATGTAAATATATTATAATTATGTGTTGTGTATGTAAAAAAGAACAGATCCTAGAGGTCACATTTGAAGAAAATATTGGTGTTTCTCGGCTTTAGGGTTTGTTTGAGGCAGCTGTTGATTATTTATAATCTGCTTATATTTGAGGGTTCAAGCTCCTAAGAAATTAAAAAAATAAGTTGAATAATCGGCTTTTTGTGCAAAAGGATAAAGTTGTTTAAGCTACAAAAAATTATTTAAAAATTAATCAAATCAAATTTGTAGGTGCGGACAAATGACGGCTATTATGTACGTATTCGTCAACAAACGTCGACTAGGCTTTTTTAATTGTATATAATTAAAATATATTAAAAAATAATTATATATTTCTTTTTGTGTGCACCAATGTAAGTGCAGCAAGTGGCAAGTTTGGGCTTCAGTTTTCTGTATTTGTCCATGTTTTAAAAATCGGATCGAAAAATTATTTCATATGCAGAGATGTAAACGGTCTTCGATTTCCACCGTTCATCGCAGTAAAATTTTTGTTTAAAAAAATTCAAAATAGGGTCCACTGTCATACATCTTTGCTGTCATACATCTTTACTGTGATGGACGATGGAGATCGGACGCCGTATGCATCAGACATTCAAATAATAATAGATGAGTTTTAAAGTTTAAAATTTTGAATCAGTGTTGAATCAGATTAATTAATAAATCATAAATATATTTAAAAAAAGAAAATAAATAAAAATTTACATAATACTCAATTCATATGATTTTAAATATCTAACACTTAAAATTCAATTTTAACATTTTATTTTGAAAAATTTTGTTTAACTTTTTAAAAATTGTGATATTTATATGATATGAATGTATTTGATGGTATAAATGTAAGAAAATAAAGTTTTTGTTAGATATGTAAAATAAATGAAAGTGTGTAACATGTATGTCAATTAAATTTCTTTATAATTTTAATATTTTAGATATAATATAAGTGATTTGGGTGGTACAAATGCAAAAATAGCATTTAGGCGTTGGATATCTAAATTGCATAAAATTAGTTGTAAAAATGTTCAAAAGTATAATTTCTGGTTTAGGGGTCAAACCTGTCGGTTTTTGCCAGTTCCAAGCCGGTTCAAACTAGTTTAATGTAGGGGCAGTTTTTAAGCTAGTCCAAACTGGACAACCGACCAGTTCACAGGTCGAATTGGCGTGTTTGGTTTGATTTTCTAAACCATTGATTTTATCAAAATAAAAGATTGGTCGGAGGCTATTACACGAGTCTCTCGACCAACCTCATGTATTTGACAAACTCTACCAACTAAAGAGTCATGATAAACGACAATATATATATATATATATATATATATATATATATATATTTACAAAGGTGGGAAATAGTTAAATTGATCTCTTTAAAAATATTTTACAACTATTATAAATCTTATTATTGTTCCATGGCAGAAGTTTCACAGCAATAAAATAACAATTTAGTGTCTTAGTGTTGGACATGGAACACATTATATATAAAAGAGAAGAAACCAATAGGAGTTACCTAAATTTTTACTTGAAAAAAACTTAAAAAGGGAAAAGACCATGACACGTAGGTCTGTTGAAATAATCTGTTATGTAATTGTAGGTACATAGACTCCCTTTCCTCTTTAATTAATTAAGATGAGATTACAATATTGATGTACAATTGTAGTCAACAATAATAGTTGTAATGGGTTGCAAAAACTATAGTGTTATGAAGGCATTAGCCTACGATGCATATTATAGACAGTGGTTGTAGTGCAGTTTGTCATGGAGGTCGTAGTTGAAAATCATGATAGTATTTGACAATGTAGCTCATAGATGGTTGCTTCAAGAGCTTCGATTGGCCACATAGGCCGTAATAGAGAGTTGTAGGATCAATGATCCACATAGGTCGTAAATTGTCACAAAGGTCATAGTGGTGAGCTGCAATAACAACAATAGGCTAAAAGGGACATGAGTTGGGGTTGCATGAGAAATGAACCACATAGGCTGTAGTTGGTCACATAGGTTGAAGTGGCGAGCCAAAATAACGTTGTAAGCCGTAGAGATTGAAGTTATAAGCCACATGAGCTGTGGACCACATAAAACATAATTGAGAGCCACAATAATGTACATATGCTATAGAGGCCGTAGTTGGGAGCTACATGAGCTGTAAGCTACGTGGACTAGTTGGCCATAAAGGTCATAACGGTGAGCTGCAATAATGTCCAAAGGAAAGAGAGGTTAGAGTTGAGAGCTCCATGAGTTGTGAACCATGTGGGTCGTATTTGGTCACGTAGGTTGTAGTGGTGAGATGTGAGGAGAGAACTTCAAAAGTATGAAGAAAGTCGTCATATGTTGGGTGTAGTTAACCTGTCTTTGGGGTGTCTCTTTGCATCTTATACGGGTCACGTTGTTGCACTGTATTTGGGGTGCAAAGTTATACAGAGTGCGTTACTACACTATCTCGAGGTGCGTCATTACACCGTCTTCAGTTTGCATCTTTGCACCATATTCAGCGTGTGTCGCTGGATCATATTTGGGGTGTTTTATTACACTGTTTGTAGAGTGCATGGATAAATCATCTTCGGGGTGCATAATTACAACATTTTCGTGTTACATCGTTACACCATATTTGGGGTGCATCTTTATACCATATTCAAGGTGCATTGTTGCACTGTATGTGAGAAGTGTTGTTACACAGTGTTCATGGTATGTTGTTATGCCGTCCTTAGGGTGCGTCATTGCACCATATTTGGGGCACGTCATTTCACTATTTTTGTGTCACATCAATGTACAATATGCAGGGTGCATTGTTACACCATCTTTGGGGTGTGTCATTATACTGTATTCGAGCCTTGTCGTTACACCATCATTAGTGTGCATTCTTACATTGTAGGATTCATTGATGTTAATAAGTAGTGAGAAACAAACAGTGTTTGACGATGACAGATAAGCTGTGGTTGATGGGGGCTGGCGGCTGTGGGAGTAGGAAATGTTTGTCGGGAATATGGTCCAGAACCATAATGGAATTCAACTCCTTTTTCTCCCACTATGACACTAGCTCTAGATCCCTCCCTCTTTATGAAAGAGGTTAGACTGTGTTTATAGACTTTGTGAGTGTGTCCTATACAAGTAAGGAAAGAATTCAAAATATTTCATTGGAGGATCTGCAATGACATTTTATGGACATTTACGTACTTTAATGATGTCAGAATTGAGCGATATTGAGCTCGTTGGATTCATCTCATTGAGATATTAGATTTGACTATAAACTCATCAGATATAGATCCATTTGACATTCCAGTTGACTACTCAAAGGCCTAAATTGGTTAAACTAATTCATCAATGCATGTTTTTACTTAAATTGGGCCAATTTTAGTGTCAATGACTTCATCTTGTCAAGCAGGCCAATTTGAGTTTAAGTTTGTTGAAATCGAAGTTCAAGATGATTTTTAATTTGAACTTGAATGTTTCTTGCTAAAACAATGCTCCAAGCTTTACGCTTTTTGCCTCATGATTTGTATCAAATGATAATTTATTGATGCCATATTAATTGCCTCATAATTTTCGGGTGATTTTACTTTTTCATCCAAAAATTATCAAAATATTGGAAATCGGGTAAATATTTTAATTTTTTTTTAAAATTTTGGATTTTATGGAAACAACCCGAGAGTGGCTATAGAGATCATAGGGTGTATGGTTCATACCACAGACCAGGATCAACAGGATGGTTAGTCAAGCTAGCGAGCGAATAACACAAACCAAAGTTGGCCACGGTGTGTCGGGTAAAGCCAGTGAGATGGTGGACCAGCAATCAGGTGGGTTGGGCAGGAATGGAATGTGTAGACCCATGGCTAGGACCATATAAGAC